GGGCCATATAGTTCATGATAGAGTAGACCATTGTTTTACGATTTAATGGAACTTTTGTGGAATTAATAGGTGTACGAAGTGTTTGTTTGTGGTTTTGGTATGTTTGTTTCATTAAGTCTTCGTAGAATGATGTTTCCTGTGTTTATTCGTGGTGAAATCTGGTCGACTCTAACCGAGCTTTGAATTTGCATTGTTATTTATAATGATACGGTTTCACTCGTACATTAGTTATTCTTGAATTTCTATAAATGTGCGATAAATATATCGCTATCGATAAAAAAATCTGGCGTGGCACTTTTAGCCAATGACGCGGAATTGGGTGAGATCATATTGAATATTCATGGTCTCGGAAATACGATTAAATAAAACGTAACGTGATCTACTTTTTTATATCTGTAGTATTACTATTCTAAATATTTTTTTAGGAATAGGGGAGTTGGAGCTCGCATAGGACAGAATATATTCTGCGATATCATGTACATTTATCAGTGACAAATCCCCGTATGGTAGAAGAATTTCTATGCAATAGATAGTTCACAGGATTACAAAACGTTTGCCTATATTCTTGTCAAACGGATTTAGATCCACGAGAGTATTTGCCTGTGTAAAGGTATGGATTAAAATGCGGCAGGTATATGCGGTCTCTCGCTTAAAAAAGTATAATGAGGGATCGTAAATTTAATTACCTTAATACACATGACTTCGAGGCTTTTGATTGAGGGTTAAAATAAAGAAGGGTCGAAAAGTGAGGTAAAAATTCTCGTAAACGGTATCAAGGGATTTAAACAAAAAAATCTACCGCCTTTGTGAACGCTGTACTTTTCATTAGTACCGTGTCCTCGTTCCAGTGTAGGTCTATTGTATGCATAAAATATCATAGAACGCGTAACGTGAATTTTTATGGTACGCACGTTGTGACTACGCGGAGACCTATTCGAGTAGCGTATTTTCGAGCACGGAAAGACAGTAACGGTTACCAGAGACCCTAACTGTTATAACCACAATTTAAAAAGTGACAGTATAAGTGTTAATATCTTTGTGTGAATGAATTTAGTTACGAATAACCATTATTGGATACGGAAATTGTATTGGTCACGAATAAACTTTCTTTGTATGTAACCATTATCGACGACAAGAATATTATTTTGGTTACCGATAACCATTATTGATGACAGAAATTTTTTGTTAGGTACGCGGTAATCAATATACATGTCGAGAGTTATATTTTGTTACCTTTCGGCAATCGTCAATTTTTATGAACGTTATTTTTTGAACGTATCTATATTTTAACTTAAAGTATATAAATTCTTCAATTTGTTTTGTGTCACAGATAGATACGTTAATAAATCTTGGCGATAGTCGAAAGTAACCAAAATAAAACTTTCATGGATATTGGTTATCGGTAACCAAAATAAAATTCTCGTCATCGATAATGGTTACATGCAACCAAAAACAATTTCCGTCATTGATAATGGTTATTCGTAGCCAATAATGGTTATTCGCAACCAAACAAAATTCCCGTCATCAATAATTGTAGCTGGTAACCAAACAAAATTTTGATCATTTGTAATGGTTATTCGTATTTCTTCGTCTTTTATTAATATTTGGTTTTCATTTAAATAAAAATTACTTTTTACTCAATGATTTTCTTTCAAGAAATATTTAAAATAAATTTTATTGTTCGTCCCTAACGGTTACTGTTCCGGTACAAAAATTTGCAGCATTCGAATAAGGAAAGCTTCCTTTTCGACCTGCAAGAGGTCGTGCGCGTTCAGCTATCCACAGTCTGGCGAGCAATTATCGTTCTCGTCGGAACTTTATGCTCGTATATATTATTCTTTCCGTTCAATCGGCGTTAATAAAAGCACGGACATTAGAACCCCGCTAATTATTACTTAATTAACAGCCGCAAATAAATTGCGAGTTCCACGACACGCGTGGTTTTCCTCCTTCTCTTTCCATGAGAGCGTCGCGATCCCGTCTGTGGCCTCGATCGATCGGCGGGTTCAGCGGTTTTCAAGATTATTTAACAAGCTCTCGGTAACGAACCGCCCGTTTGCTCGCGCGATCGGCGAACTGGGTGAAGGACGAAGGATCACAAACTATGAGCGCGTGGCACAACTGATTTCAGGGCGTCGTGCGCTGTTCAAACAACGATTGATCAAACAATAACATCGTTAAATCGATAAGTGGAATAATCGGAGTAACGACAATCATGTTCGTGAACGGATGAGTGGACCGTGAAAGCACGGTTTGTTGGCTCGACGAAGACCTCTCGATTCGTCGAAGGACGAGTGCCATTCGCACTTGTGCCCGATCAGACGAATCGTGGTCAATCTCGGACCATGTGTATTGGGCTACGAGCGTAATCCCGCGAATTTAGCCGAGTGATCGTGTGTTTATGTATGTCGATAACTAAATATATAAACGAACAAATTTATAACAATTTCGTTAGATATTTTTATGGGGCATAAGAAGCTGTTGAATTTTCATTGAAACAGTTTATTTTTGTATTTTTGTTTCAAGATATATAGAAAAATAGGAAAACATATATTTATGTTTAAGGGTGGTTTTACCCCGAAGAACTGAATACTAGCAAAAAGAAAAAATTGCCCGATGCTTCTATGGAGGTCCTCTACAGACCTACGGAATTGAATAAAAAAATTGGAATTTTTGGAATACCAAAGTTACCTTATCAATCAATTCGTGTGACACTGTTACAGTTAAAATCAACAATTACAATTTATAATAGTGTAAGCCTTGATTTATATTGTATGTACTTCAGATTGAGCTGTATTAAACTGAGAAAATGTACAATAGTTTATTTGAATGTACAGAGTGAGATACTTCTAGTCAATATTAAACCTAAATCCTATCTTATTATACTATGCTAGTGTTTGCACTTTTGTTCCTAAAGTCCGTTTTAAAGAATACTTTCCCCAAGTTTTGTGTATTAATTGGAAAACCAAACCCGTCTGAAATGTTCAGCTACGATTGTTGGATTATTCCGAAAGCATCGATTCATAATAGACTCTAAATTCGCCGCAAATATTCTCGCACAATAAGCACGTCCAAACGACGTTCGATATGTCGATTGAGGAGGATCTCTCATTAAAACTAATTAAATTCACTACCATGAAGCAATTAACCATAATTGCCTCGCGGGGCACTCGATAACTTCCTGTCGTTACGATCTGGAGCAAAAGTCGATTACTCGCTGGATATTTCTCTTTGAAAACTTCCGAAATCGTTTGGAAAAATTCGAAACTGTTCACGATTCGGCAAAAATGTTAGGCCCGGCGCAGACGAGTGGTTCACGGCAATTTGCCGTCACGTTTTAACAGAACATAAATTTATACGAAGTAATTCACAAGGGACACGAATTGTATCGGTTACTAGGCGACATGAGTCTAAACGAATGCACGTACTGCTTGACCGCGAATGCCAAGAAAAACTTGACACGTGAAACGTGGCGACAAACTACCGCAAACCACTCGTCTGTATCACGTCACCCGTGGTGACGTCTCCTATTTCTGCAAATGCTTGCGTCTGTTTCCATTAATATATAAATCCGAAATCGAGCTCGTAGAAAGTTTCATATTTTTCACAAATGTTAATTAAGAAAAGTTAGCTCTTGGAAAAATCAATTCTCGATCCTCGAAGTTTCGATCCGAAATTTTTTTTTTAAAAACAAATTATATTTTGGACAATTTGTTAGCACCATATTATTCTACATAAAAAATCGAAAACCATGTCCATTTGAAGTTTTCATATATCGCCTCTGGTTTTCGAGATAATACTTTCGGGTCGAAACTTCGAGGGGTGGCTTCACCCCTTAAAGTCGCGTGTCAGCCGATAAAAAAAAATACGTATCCCTTATTTTTGACTGCTTAACAGACATACGAAGTTTCATCAAAATCGGAGGGGGACATTTCCGAGGGTTCCCTTCTAAGGGCGGGAACAAGAACCCCAGGTTGCGTCTCCTTTAAGTATAAACGTGGCACAACATGCACAGAATGCAGCCTAATAGCTGTCAAAGTTTGTGTCCTGTGTGAACTGATTTATACAAATCTATGTTCTGCTAAAATGCAACGGCAAACTGCCGCAAACCGTTCGTCTGCGCTGGGCCTTAGACGGATTTCGAGACGGAGCGCTGTTGTTCGATCTTAATATGCAGCTCGGCGGGGAACGCGGTTTTGTCGGGTACGTCGATTGTTTTTCCCCACACCGACCGATCGAAAAGGATGGGGTAACAGGAAGCGAATGGACGGCGTGGCTAATCCCACCGCCGCGTAATAGATTAACACATCCCGTTCGCGGACGTCGCGCTGGCAAAAACCGGGAAGGGCGACGGAACAAAAACCCCCACGGTAGCGGAGTGAAAGGTACCGGGGGCCTATTACAAGAAGTTCGAAGAGTCACGGGATAAATAGCCACCATTATCGAAGATGGCTAGGCGCTTCTATTATCCATACGGTATTTATTTATGCGAACAATGACGCCACGGAGGGTGCGAGCCGCGAGCACTGAAAGCCATCGTGGAAACTTTGCTCTCCCAACCGAGTCTTCGCGGATGTTACGACAGGGATAGCGGGTTCGTAGTGGTTGAATTACGGGGACAAAAGTCCTATACTATGAGAAGCTATTGAATTCATATAGATTTAAGATATTGTAAATAGAATACTCCGAGGATATTATTTAATTATTTAGGTGTACTTTGGCGATCGATCTTAACCGCTTAAGAGTATAACCCGACTTAACTCGATTTTAATGTTACGTGGAATTTTGTTTAATCCCGCGTTAGCTTGGACTTGCTAGGTTTTCTAACTTTAAGAATTTTTCGTAATTCTAATCATGATTTATAATTAAGCACATTTAAATGTTACGAAATTAATAATAAAAATAAACAGGATTTTTAACGGAATTCCTAAGAATAATTTGGTCCTTAAGCGGTTAACGTAACGTACTAAAGAAGAAATCAGATACATTGTTGTTCTTACTGTTGAGGCTTTTGAGTGTAAGCTGTGTCCTTGTGGAATTTTCCAAACGTCTCGCAAGCATTAAAACTGGGTTCGTTAAGGGGTCGAAAGATATACTGATACTGGTGTGTGCCTTGTGCTGCTCCACTAATATACGGCAGCTTGCTCATGTTCCGGTTCATTGCTCAGCAATTAACAGATATTTAATTATAACAGCATAAATGTCCATTGAGTTTTAATATCCCATAGACAATATTTATTTCAGACTTTCAGCAATTTTTTAATGCCTTGTAAAGTTTACTGGATAGTCGATTAATGTCTTGTTACCAGAGTTGGTCACAATTTTATTCGAATAATACACGATGAAAAAGCGGTAGTATCTAAGACCGTCATCCTGATCTTTAAACTGTTAATGAGATTCAATAACTATTTCCCAATAACTTTTTCAATAACATTTCTTCTGTCGACTCATTCAAGAAGTAGTTGAAGAATCTTATAAAAACTGTTATTTCCATGTTTAATCAGTTGAAAATGGCGAAATACTTTTCTATCTTTTATTCGTTATTCGAAATTCTTTACCTAGGTAATGAATTTGTCAATCTCTGCTTGATATTTATGAATGGACGAGGGGAGGGGCATAAATGCCGTTATCAAAATTTCATATTAAAACACAATCGATAAAATAGCTGTATGATGAATTATACCTATAACTTCTCGAATCCTGAGTAGCAATAGACCTTTTAAAATTATCTATACAAAATGCATCCGTCCGCGAATATAAAAGTCACCACCACACTATCTACACATTTCTAAACACAAGTCGAAAAATATCCTAGAAATGTGATGACTACACTTTCGTTCCGGCAATCACAGGTAAACAGATTGTTTACGTCTCTCAACCGTAAAATATTCCAAACCATGCGCTAGACGTCGCGAAAAGAACGGCCTGCGCGTGAACGAACGCCCAAGGGAAACCGACGAAGAAAACCGTGGTCCTGGAGAAGATGGCTGGGGAAGGGTAGGTGGGGTGGCAGAGGAAGGCGGAACGTTTGCCTCCGTTAACACGATTGCCCTCCTGGCTCTCCGTCAACGGCCGCTCCGATTTAACTTTCAAATAGCCCGGTCCGGTCGTCGCCAGTTTAATTTCACGATTATTTTATTCGGCTGGAGGGAAAAGAAGCTAAGTAGGTCGAGGACGCCTCTTAATCAGCGCACCTTTTCAAGATGGTAATACCGCGCGCAATTTTGCTTAGCAGCCACTACTATTAATTTCTTGTTCATTCCGGCGGTGGTGGAACGAGACGGTGCCGGAGACGAGAGAGGAAAATAGAAGAGTGAAACAGAGTATATACGACGATGATCACGGGTGGTGAAGAGATCCAGTGTTCCGGGGGAACCGTAGGAAATTTCCGGGTGGGGGTCGTTGTGCTCTGACACTCATAACGCGTCAACGCATACGACAGCACTTAATTCGATACGGATTCCGGGACGTTCATTATTTCGCCAACTTTCGTTAGCATTGCTAATAAGACTGCTCGCGAGAACTACAGACCGAATCCCGGCAAGTTTTCGCGCGAGACTCCCCGCTCGTGCCGGATGGTAATAAGAACGGTCATTATTATACTGTTTACAATCTCTGGGGGTGGTAGGGGGTGAAACGGAGAGGCAGACTTGGCCCCAGGGATCCCAGGATTTCGCTGTGGGGACCGGAAATTTTGACGTTCGCTTCGAGGAGAGGCGCGACCTGTGTCAAGAGTCTCCCAGATATTTCCAAGTAAGCTGACAGAGAACACGGTTCTGGAGTCTCTCTGAATTTGATATTAATGTTTTGAGTAATTCTCAAGTTTCTTGGGTAATTTTAATTTTCTAATGAGGATGCACGGTAGTTCGTGACTCTACTGATGGTTCTCTGTTTGTTTATTGTTATGATTATGTTGTAAAATCACTGCCCTGTGGAATGTTTATTGTTGGTCCGATGTTAGCTTTCGTAAAAGTTATTCGGATATATCTACATATTACGGAATGTAAAATATGTTTTATGCATATTTAGCTGGACAGAAGTATTTGGACGTTTCGTTTACAAGCATGAACTGTTATCTGAAATATGAGCTTTATAGGATGGTCATATTATATGTTTATTTTATCCATTCTGGGATGGTACGAGGCAAAGTTTGCCAAAAGTTCTCGAATAGAACGTCATGGAGGACTAAAATGGAGCGGTAATATTCATAGTCTTTCGATGTGTGGATATCCCCAAATAGATGGTATATTCAATCAAAAACAGTAATTTATTCAACAAGGTTAGGTACAAAAAATATCGGAGTATAGTCGACCGAAGAAAATAATAATTAGGCAAGACAAGCTTTGATTGTTTGATGGTATCCTTAATTCAAATAATACAGCAAAAGGTTTTTGTCAGAAAACATTTGTTCTGTTGTGTAAATAATCAATTGGAGTCTGTGTATCTGATTTCGGTTCGAAATGTCTACCTTTGAATTGAACATATTATAAGCGAGACTACCTATAAAATTCTGTTTTATTATGAAGAAAGTAAAAAGGCGTCTGTAATTCGTCTTTAACTTGAAACCCATTTTTTATTTGCAAACTGTTTGAATCAAACGATTCATCCTGCACAAAGCTAAAGGAAATAGGTTAAGCAGAATTTCCATAGAGAATTCTCAGCTGAATGGGTCAAATGCGGCACGATGTTTCAAGAAATTAATCTTGGAACTAAATGACAAGAAAAAATATACAGTACAGATTTCATAACTTTATTACAAGAGATATTTTCGAGACGAAGAAATTAATCATAAAGTAGATTCCAGCATGACCACATTACTGTTAAGTGGCTCTTTATCCTAAGCTGTAAAACAAACACACTGAATTCTTCGTATTTACCATTCAAATATTAACTGTCCTAACAAATCATATATTATGATTCGTCGAATTCAATATTTATTCTCAAGGTAATCAAAAGTCTCTGCCGTTCCAATAATATTCATTCCCATCCTCTTCCTTTCTTCCGATTCCCTCCGCCATATACCTAACATCTGTTCCATTTTCATTAGTCCCAAGCAATAACCGTCATTCAATTACAAATCACCTAATACGTTCCTCCCCCCTCCCCACGGACAAAGAGCTAGCGAAGATAGAAGATAAATGGAAACTTCTATTAACCACTAGATTACCCATAACTCACCCAAGCGAATAAATTTTTCACATAACCTTCCTTTCCTCCTATTGTGCCGCGTATTAATCCTTTCAACTATCGACGCGTTCTTTCGAATCACTGTCTACCAAAACGGAACAACAACACAGTGGACAAGTAGAAAAACGAAGAAAACTGTCCGTGAAATAATTCCAGGTTTCCAACGCGGAGCTGCGGAGATTCATCGACACACCGTTAGTACGCCTTCCTCCACTACTCTCTCCACACGGGGCGGAAACGCGAATAAGAATTAAAGCAGATACGACGACAGTATCTCCCGGCATAATCGGCGAGGCTGCGGGAATTAAAAAACGTAATTCCTGGACTTTCGGAAGATTACGCCTGGGCCGAGTGGTATTTCACCCCTCTGCGTTTTTCGCCGTGTTCCAACCTTTCTCCACCCCCTCCCACACCACCATTTCGCGTTTTCTGTCGGTCTCCGCTGTCCTTTCGTTCCGTCATGGAGGTAATTAAAAATAAGCCTCACCCTCGACTCGTTGGGCGAGGGCAACGATTTCCTGACGAAAAAAGAAGAAGCTGTAACCAACCTTTCCCTCTCCCTCTCTGACCTCGACGACAAGGGCCAGTGGGTTACCGGGGTGGTCTCGGTTTAAAGGGAGGAGAATTACGATAACTTGTTCCGATGTATCTGGTCGCGTCTCAACGCCCCGTCGATTGTACGGTTTCTGGGTCGCGGGACTCGAGTACGACGTCGTTGAATATTTAATTGATCCTCGTCGAGAGGATTCCTCCCACTCTCTTAATCTCTTCTCTGCTCCCTACAGCCTCGAGACCAGAGCTTTGACGTTCGAAGGGATAATTTGCTTTCGTAAATGGTCTTGTATACAAACTGTGGTAGGGAAAGGGTGGCGGGGTGTACGACACAGTTACGATGAATATTTGCAAATATTTAACGTATCACGTAACCCCTCGGTGATGTTCGCGGCGGCGTTATGAATAAATCATGAGGGGTCTGAGACATCGGGAATCGAAAACGCTACGAGAAGGAACCTCGAGGGGGGTGGGGCCAGAAGGATGGGGAAGAAAAAACATATTCCTTTAACGAACGGGGATACGGGGTGGAGGAATGGGGACGGAACACGTTCGAGAGCTGGCGAACGGCTGTAAATGTATTCCGCGTGCGGCCCCGTCGTTACGCGACCCTCGAACCGGGGGAAAGTCTTTTTCCATGGTTTCGGATCGCTCTGCTAGAGAATAGGAGGGCAGGAAAAAAAAAAACTTAATTAATCCGTGAACATAATGGTTCCATTGACTCCGCCGACTTGGAGGGGAGACAGGGATGAGGAACGAGGGGGTAGGAGGTCGGAAACAGAGCGTGAAACCACGGGTACGCGTTTTTAATGAATATTTATCACGCGATCCGCGGCCGTGTCGTCGTTCGAGCCAATTATTAAACCGCAGTCCCAACCCTTCTCGAGCAACACGAGAACGCGTGTACCGGAGCGAACCTCCCTTGATTGCGTCGTAGAAAATTGGACAACGACCACTCCCCCGCGCCCCCTCCCATCCGACCAATCGGTCGAATGGATGAATGGATCCACGTGTTTGAAAACACGACCCTATTATATGCCTCGAGACTCGCGAGTCTCGACGAAAGTATCCACGTGGACCCAATATGCGTCTGACAGCTCGTCAACCTTCACTACTGCGTCGTTTGCTCGACCCCACATTTCCCCGTTCGAGACTAATTCAGTCGATAGGTAGGGTGGCCATTATTCGCGGTTAGAAATAACGTTTCTTGTTCACGGTGCTCGGAATCAGTTCAATGCAATTTCCCGGTTGTATAACGTTGAGGGAAAGGATTTCGAAGAAATGCCTATGAATGGAGCACCGTTAGAGGTCTGCTTTTAAGAATAACGTTCGATCGGCGACCAAACCGAAGGAGCTTTAATCGCGCGAGCTCTGCAATGCGTTTCATTCGCGTGATTTCTGGATCTGGTT